CGTACGAAAGATGACTAGTCTCGTACTTATACATTGTATGAACCATACGCATCTATGATGAATTTGATCATAATGTCTCAGGTCAAAGACTATATTGTGCACTGATATAACCAAACGATAAATCATTAACTGCATGCTTTTCCAAGTGATTTGTCGTTATTCGGTCACGTTCGAAAAATAGTTCACCAACCGCTAATCCATACCAATGCCCCAATGACATGACTATCATCGTCATCCGAACTTATATAAACTCATGATACCCTTCGGAAGCATCCAATATGCCTACTATGCAATATAGTTGCCCAAATTATATTGCTTTCGTAGGAAACCTTTTTGATAATTCATTTATCGATTAAATGAATCATCTGAACAATTCATATACATACTTTATTTTAAATGCATTACTGAATAAAGGAAGCAATTTATATATATGAATTGAAGAACTCTTTCTTTTATTATTTATGATATATTGATACAAGATAAAAATGCTCTGAAACCGACAACATGAACGGTTTCTAGGGCATATAGCAATATATACTAACACCTTAAGTGTTGAATGCTATGTAGATGCGAATTGGGGAAGTAATTTGGATGACAGAAGGTCAACAAGTAGTTACTGCATTTACCTAGGACCTAATCTGATACAGTGGAGCTCTCGCAAGCAAAAAATTGTTGCTCTCAGTTCTACTTAAGTTGAGTATAGAGCCTTAGCCCACACAGCCACTAAAATTGGTTGGCTGCAAAGTGTATTTTCAGAATTGGGGTTGAAAATGCCTATTGTTCCAGTGATATGGTGTGATAATGTGAATGCATGAGCCTTGGCAACAAATTCTGTTTTTCATGCAAGAACAAAACATATCAAAATCGATCGATGCTCACTACATAAGAGATCAGGTTCTATCAAAACAAATCGTTGTTCAGTATATTCCTTCAAAACTACAAATTGCAAATGTTTTGACTAAAGCATTGTCTGCTGCTTAGTTTCATGAGTTAAAGGGTAAACTCACTATTGTTGTAGTGACTGAAAGTGAGGGAAATTCGAGCTATACAGAGGCCTCTTGTTCTGCTAATATGAGTTCATCTTAATAGTTGCAATTTTCTTCATAGCATGTTCTAAGTTTCTACTAGATTAGTTTTAACTGCTGCAGGTTTGAGATAAGCTGCAGATTTTGGTGTTTCTAGAAATTGGTTGGTGAGCTATAGATTAGTTTTAACTACTACAGGTTTGAGATGAGCTGTAGATTTGCTCCAAGTATTAATGTAGAGCTACAGGTTTAATGGTTGTAGTTGATTTGCACTGTAGATTAATACAGGTTGATTTGAGGAGTTGATTGTTGCAAGTTTAATGTGCAATTTTGAAGTTTAACGTGCATTTTTTAAGTTGATTTGGGGTGATCTAGGAAGTTTATTTGAGGGGGAACATTGAGATAGTTGAAAAGTAAACCAATTTTGCTTAGGGGGAAATATTAGCAAAAGATTAAAACGATGCCGTTTTTGCTTGGCATTTTAGTAAACCAAAAGTGACGTCGTTTTTACTCATCGTTTACTTGACTCTTTCTCAATTGTATGAGATCAATGGTGCTTGTACTCTCATTGCTCCATTAGAAACAAAGCTACTGAAATTTTGTTTCTTTGTATTCTCTCTAGAAACTTCAGTTTATCTTTCTCAAGCTATCAATTCTCTCTGGTGTTTTCTCTGTTCTCTCTGTTATTTGCTCTTGTTCTAGCTTTGGTGAATCTTACAAACGCATTTTGTCAATTTCTCATTTCGGCCAAAGTCAGTTTATATATGGAGATAAAATACTCTTTGGAGAGACTCAGGGTTGTCGCTGTCCCATATGCAGATCGGTGGAAATTCATGAAACGTGAGGTGGTAGATGATGGGTGGTGAGTTTAATTTTATTTTTATCCAAAATTTGCTGGTAAAAACGTAAGAATCGATATAAGAACAAATTTCAATGCAAAAATTGTTAGGCAGAAATACTTTATACAACAGTAGAGAGTGCAATCGGATAAGACCTTAATTTACAGAGTAATTCTTTATTTCCTTTATTAATTTGCTATGAGCAGCAGTTAAACAAATGCTATTTGCTTCAATATACATTTGCCCATGCACTGCATACTTGATAACATATTTAAGCAAATGGGTTGAAGAGAACCTCAACCTTTGCTAAGCAATGAAGGGTTTAGTTTGAAATCAAATAAATATATAATAAAAATTGTTCTAGTCATTGCACCAACAGGATGGTGGTCTGGTCAATCGTGAGAACGTATTGGCTACTTTGATCTATCAGATAAGCAAATTGTTCAAAACAATTCACTCCGACTGAGGGGTGGTATGGTCAATCGTGAGATGAGCAACACATTTGAGATCAATCAGGTAACGAAAGGGCATAACTGGTGACTATAGTCGTGTGCTAAAATGTGGAGAGGCGAGGAGGTGAACCACCATATCGTCAGCTGATATTAGTCTTTTTAATGGGTACAATTTGCTAATTAATTTTCACAATCCTTTCTGATAATACTTGTGATATATATGCACACTACAAGCAGGGGCAGGCCGAGGCCGTTTGAGGCCTACCCTCAAATAAGTAAATAAAATTTTAAAAGTTTTACTTCTTATTTTATGGGATAACCAAATAATAAGTGTGAAGAATCCAAGAACAGAGGCCATTTTCATTTTTCATTACCAAATTTTATGCAACAAAAACCACCCCAACTTTAATGATGCAAAAATGCCTCTGCAATACACCATCTCTTCCTCCTAACTCAAAAGCTTTTGCAGAAACAATTTCCTGGCATGTCCTCTGAAATTTAGTAAAAACATTCAGTTTCGACAAGAATTCTCCTAAAGTTTTACAGATTATCATAAAGTTCTCCTAAAATTCATCAAGAGTATTAATCAAAAACCACTTTTACAGGTGACCTTTACAAATTTTCTGAAATAAAAAAAAGGCAAAAACTCATACAAATAATTGAAAGAATGATCATTCTTTCAAAACCGATAATTGTTACTTTTGTGCAACGATTCAAGACTTAACCTCTGAACTTAAACTCACGCTTGCTTTTCTTTTCAATTTCAACCTCTGAATTCTAAAGTATTCGCTCTTTTCAACTGTTTCTTGCATGTTTGGTTGCCGAGAAAATGAGGTTGATTTTTCTACTTTTTTTTTTTTTTTTAATGTGTTAGGTTATTTTATTTTATTTTTGTGCTCCGAATTCTTAGTTATTTTTTGTTCGACTTTTGTTATGTGTTTCCTTGATGAGAAAATGAGGCAAAGCTTTGTTCATTATTTATTTTTATTTTTTTTAATGTCTTTATCTTTGGTAATATTCTCTGAATTTTACGGTTTTTATTTTATTTTATTAAGTTATTTTTAGTTTGTTAGGTTGATGAGAAAATGATGCTAAGTTTTGTTCACTTTTTTTTACTGTCTTTTTGTTTTGTATTTTGCTCTAAATACTACGGTTTTTTTCTTTTAATTTATTAAGGTGGTTTTAGTTGGTTAGATTGATGAGAAAATGAGGCAAAGTTTTGTTGTTTTTTTGCGTCCTTTTCGTTTAGTAATATTGCTCTAAATTCTAATTATTTTTTTTATTTAAGTATATTTTTTGTAGTATGTTTGGTGCTGAGCAAATGAGACAAAGTTTTGTTAAATTTTTAATCTCGATGGTTAAGTTTTGATTTTAATAGTTGGATTTGGAGTTATATAGCTTAAAGTTTGACTACTTCTCTAATGATTTTAATTTAATTCTTTGTAAACATTTATGTATTTTACTTGTGTTAGAGTTGTGATTGGACTTCAAATTTTTATAAAATATTTTTGGTGGATTGTGGTTCCTATGAACTCTTTTGATTATACTGGATTTAAGTGGGTTGTTAGATTATCGTGGTTTTTTGCTCTTTTCACATTTAAGAGGTTTTTTCACATCAAAATTTTTTTGTGTTTTCTTGTGAGTTGGATGTGATTTTTAACATATTTGCTCAAAGTTTTGCTTCTCATGACATTATTTAAGTAGAAAAGTATTGTGTTATTACATCATTTCTTTTTAGCTTCTTAATATTATATTATTTTCTTTGCTTAAGGTTTAATGATTCTTTTAAAGTTTTTACTAGCTGGTTAACAAACAATGAAGGAGCCGCGAAGGCCTCCTCTCAACAAAAATCTTGGATCCACCACTAACTACAAGTGGATGTGATACTGTATTAGATGTATCACATTCACCAACATTTATTATTATTATTTTAATAGAAGAGTTTACACTTCAAAGTACTACATTGAATATCATATATATAGATTGATGAAGTGGATAAAAGTTTAGTAGACTTAAAAGAGCTGAAGTCTCCATGAAGACATTGAAGGCTTTCCTTGAGGGAAACTGATCTCTATATATTATCTTCGTCAGTTTGTACAGCTAGCTCTAGGGGTCACCAGTTCAGAGAGACTTGCTCCCTATATACAAGCAAGCATTATCACAATACTTTGCCCTAAACATTTGTCGAAACGCGTAAGTTTCTTGGCCTCAATCTTCGTGGTTTCGTGGCCGCGTGCAGTTTTTCAAAGAATAATATCTTTATGCTTGTGTTGTTCATGTTACCAAGTGCGTATATACATTGTAAAACTTCAGCCATCATAAAGTGCAGAAAATAAGAAAGTGGATAAAATCAAAATTTTCTAAAATCAAGATATACAAAATAAAAAAGTAAAATAATGCAATAACTTTATTTCCTATACACAAATGTTCTGGGTAGAAATTCATAAAACATGTAAATTACACTGAAAATTCATCCTTTATTTCCTATATTTGCTATTATAAGCACTTAAGCAAAAGTTATTTTATTCATTAAAATTATATACTTGTCCCTGCACTGCGTGCTTGATATCATTTTTTATCAAACGGGCTGCAGTGAACCACTGGGCGACACTGAAGTTGCGGAGACAAGGTCATTGAATTGCCTGATCCAACTTCAAGTGTAATCTTATTGCGCACCTTCGAAGATGGCAGCATTGAGAAACTTTACGCTCTTACACCAGCCTCTCAACTCTTTGTCAACAACAATGATGAACTCATCAGCTTATCTGACGTATCGGCCCTTCGTTACCACCCAACTGCGCTGCCAGTTTGGTATGGATCAGGATCCTTTTCTTATCTGGGGTTTTTACTTGAACAAATAAATGCTTGGGATTGGCAATTACTAAATAGAAATGTAATAACTAAATATATTTGAACAATTGAAAAGTGAAAATTCACGCATACCATGAAATTCTTAAAATTTCACGAAAGCTCAAATTAGGAGAGGATCCAAATTCATTGGTATATGCATCGAAATGAAATGTATTCAAAACTTAATTTCGTAGTTTTCTTATTTTTTTTCTTTTTTCTATTGACTTATTAATCTCTTATTTGTAAAATGTACAGGTTGAATATGAATGAAGGGATTCTCGAAGGAGCTGGGGATTTGTTCAAGAAAGTTCATGGTATTAACATGTTTGAGTACATGAGCAATGATCCAACTTTCAGCAATATTTTTAATAAGGCGATGGTTGGTATTTCCCAATTTAAGCTGAAGGGGATTCTAGAGGCATACAGAGGATATGAGGGACTTGCATCATTGGTTGACGTTGGTGGTGGAACCGGCAAATGCCTCCACATGATCACCTCTATGTACCCTCACATTAAGGTCATTAATTATGATTTGCCTCATGTTATACAAAATGCACCAACTTTTCCTGGTATTCATTTATATATATAGATACTCCCAGATACCTAATCAGAGTTATGTACAATTTTAAAACAGAGTAAAACTTTTGTGCAGGTATCGAACATGTTGGAGGAGATATGTTTTCAAGTGTCCCAACCGCAGAGGCAATTATGTTACAGGTTTGTTTGCAAATTAACTATTATTTCACTAGAATTTGACATGCAACATTCAATGACTTAATTGGTTCACTTCCTCTTTCTTTTACAATTGTTCTCTTTTTTTCAGAGTATAGTTCACAATTGGAGCGATGAAAACTGCATATAAAGCTGCTAAAGAATTGTTACACAGCACTGCCAAAACATGGAAAACTGATTATTATAACTGTAGTATTGCTAGAAGAACCTGAGTCAAACAAGTATTCTATGTATACTTCTAGAATTGACACGGCAATGATTGCGCATTTTTCATCTGGGAAAGAAAGGACAACAAAAGAACTTGAGAGCTTGTGCCGAAAAGCCGGATTTTCCAACTTTCAAGTAGCTTTTCAGGGCTTTGAAGCCGTTATAGAATCTTATAAGTAAGGGTGTGTGCGATCAACCTACGAGCGTATTTTCTTTCTTTTGAAATAAAATCAAATACCTCAATGCCGATGGGTATGTCATATTGTACTGCATAACGTGTATAGTACTAAATAAAACTGTACAAGGTTTGGTGTTAACTTTGTATTGTATTAGCTAATAATACAAGTACTTAACCAATACTTCTTGTACTATTTAGTACTCTTAAGTTATCATCTACTTAAAAGTTTAAACTATTAGGTGAGAGCTCAATATAATATTAGTAGGCTACCGCATTAAGAAACTGTTAAAATCAGTCGTGTATCTCAACATTATTTGTGTTTATGAAATTTTATGGCATATATTAGTTATGGTGTTCTGATCTTGAGATTGATTCAATCTTCATATTATGTTATGTATATATTAGCCTTTAAGTCTCTACTTACGCAAAACCTCATTTACTGGAAAACTGTACTGAATTATTGTTGACCGGAATAAAAAACAAAATAACATAATATGTCATATATGTTATTTTGGATAGGATTTTAGAAATAATATTGGGTAATTGGATAGGGGAGTATTACGAGGTAAAATTTAAAAATTAATGAAAAAGCCCCTAGGTTTGCTAATTTAATTAAACACCCTAATATATAAAATAACAAAAACACCCCACCTACCTACAGTGCCAGATTCCGGCCACCACCGCCAAAATCTGGCCTGAAAATTTCGTTGTGACACAGACCGATAGGATCTATGTCGTAACGCGTCGCTATGGCCTTTTCCGGCCAGATCCACCACGGGCTAAATATTGCCATCAATAGTCGAAAAACGTCAAAAGAAGTCAATCTTTGGCCGTCAGTGATAGCCAAAGATATGACCGTTGTTTTCGATCAACGATGGCCAAGATTTGGCCGTCGTTGACAGTCAACGACGGCCATTTCTTTGGCCATTGCTGACGCCCAGATCTAGCCTTTTTCGGTCAGATCGGTGAACTTCCGGCCATTTCTGGTCGACAAGTAGGCCATTGTATAGACTCCGGCTACCACCGACGATGGTTGCCGGAATCTGGCAAGTATGGGTTAATAGGGGTGTTTTTGTTGATTTTTAAACTTTTTTCTGGGGGTATTTATTGAAATTAATAAGCTTAAGGAGTCTAAAGTAATTAAAAAATATATAGTAATATCTTTGGAATAATGTACCAAACAATATTTGGAGAATAAGATTGGGAATATGGATATAACTACGTGCCAAACAATATTTGGAAAATAGAATTAGGAATATGAATATAAATACTGAACCAAACGCACCCATAGAAGTTGATTCAACAAAATCTGTCAGTATCTTTTCAAATTAATTATTTATATTTTTTTGAACATCAAAACAGGTTTATTCAACTTTTTCTCTGTTAATTTCTTAAATCATTCTGACATTGAAGGTATTAAATAGTTTTTCCAATTGTCAAAACTACAGGCTCCGTTTGGTTCAAAATTTGGGGGTTTTGGGAAAAGTTTTTTGAAAAAAGTTAAAAAAAAATTGAATTGGGCGGGTATTACGATGTAGAATTTATAAATTAATAAAATACCCTTTATGTTTGTTTTTTTACAAAATACCCCCTATAATAAAACATTAAAAGTTAACAAAAATACCCCTAACCCACCCTCAAACACCCCCAGCCGGCGACCACCACCGGAGGTGGCCGGAGTCACCGTATGGGCGCATGACCGGTTGGATCTTGCCGGTCATGCGTCGCTATGGCCTTTTCCGGCCAGATCCACGGTGGATCTGGCCGGAAAAGGCCAGATCTACGGTCAGATCTGGCCGTCAACGGCCAGATCTGGCCGTATTTACTCTCAACGACGGCCAACAAACGGTCGTCGTTGATGGTCAACGACGACCGTTTGTTGGCCGTCGTGACCGAGTGTTACGGCCAAAGATCTGGCCGTCAACGGCCAGATCTTTGGCCTTAGATCTGGCCTTTTCCGGCCAGATCCACCGTGGATCTGGCCGGAAAAGGCTAGATCGGCGCACTGCCGGCCAGATTCAGCCGGTAGTGCGCCATTCTACCAGATTCCGGCCATTTTCCGGTGGTGGTGGCCGGAATCTGGTAAATTTGGATTATTGGGGTGTTTTTGTAATTTAAAAAAAAATATTTAGGGGTATTTAATTAAATTATCAAATTTAAAGGGTTTAAAAAAAGTTGAATAATTTTGGGAGTAGTATTCCCAAAAATCTGAAATTTTGGGTAATTTACTGTTTAACTTTTTTGGGAATACTAAAAGTAGTGGCTCCGTTTGGTTCACAATTTTGTGTTTTTGGGAAAAGTTTTTTGAAAAAAGTTAAAAAAAAAGTTGAATTGGGCGGGTATTACGATGTAGGATTTACAAATTGCGAAATACCCCCTATGTTTGTTTTTTTACAAAACACCCCTTATAATAAAATATTAAAAGTTAACAAAAACACCCCCAATCCACCCTCAAATACGGACAGCCGGCCACCACCGCCGGAGGGTGGTCGGAGTCGTCGTAACAAAAATATTAAAAATATTTAGGGGTATTTAATTGAATTAACAAATTTAGGGGGTTTAAAAAATGTTGAATAAAGTTGAATAATATTATGAGTTTTTGGGTATTTTACTGTTTAACTTTTTTGGGAATACTAAAAGTAGTATTCCCAAAATCCAACCAAACGAAGCCAGTATTCCCAAAACTAAAACAAACGCAGCCACAGAATTTCATTATTGGCTCTAATCTTCCTCAAAGAAAGTATATCCCAAAAATCCGCTAATTTCTAAACATAAACATTCATTTTTCCTTCAGATCCTGAAAGAACAAGAATAATATCTTATCTCGTTATTATTCTATTTATTGGCTTTCCTGGACCAAAAACGCTTCGAAAAGGGAGCCGAAGGATTGGACTCCATTAGACATAATCTGGAAAGCTTCGTCTCGTAAAATCCGCTACAGGTTTGGCCTCAAAGTCCAGCCTGAAACGCCAGTGGGAGATATATTGATTCAAAGGATCCTAGCACATGTAAACAATGCGACAATTACAATTCCAAGATAGAGAAAGTGTTAATAATTACATGGAGAGTGCGTGGCCATAAAACTTGGCGTAGGAAGATCTTGAAGACCAGGAGATTTGATCACTTTGCACGTAAATATTATTCTCAAGATCAGATACAAATTCAATGGAATTGTTTGATCATTTTTCATGTTGACCTTAAGCTATAGTTTTATAACCCTGAGCACATGACATATTTATTTATATTGGGGGGAAAAAAAGCGATAGTGTTATAATTGTCTAATAAGTCTTTCTGTAAACTTAAGCTAGTGACGTCGTATATTACAAATAGGCAGATTTTCATATCATGTGATATATTATTTTATTATAGTTTATACTGTAGAAGACCTAAGGTTAAGTTTCATGGTTATTTACGAGTCAACGGGAGTTTTGTGAAATTGTATTCTAACAAACTCGAGAAAAAGAGAAAGTGAGAGAGACCCTTATCTTTCCTAAGAGATTAATTAAGAGGAATGGTTTTTTAGACCCCATTTAATAAAAGAATAAAATTCCATCTCTCAGTTTACCAGTAACCTTGGCCTACCTCTCACTTTTCCATGACCATGATCTTTGAATATACAATTATATTGAAATTTCTTAGATTTTATTCAAACATTTGAACTAAAAAGCAGATACATGGTAGCACAAGAAAAAGCTATGTGAATTCAAATCTATTTGCACATAATCGTGTAGTTTAGTTTGCAAATGAAGTGCCACAAAACAGAAAAAAAGCTAGCTTTTATCTACTGGTCCAAAGGCTGTAATTTTCGAGAGCCAAATCCAGGAGATTTCCAGAGAAACAGGCATGCAATGAGCTTGCCTCAACAACTTCTGTGTCGTCCTGTGGTTCACTTCAACCCATTTGCTCAAAATATGACATGGTTTAGGTATTATTAACTAAAAGAAATAACATAAATTAGAATCCGTGAGGTCTTTTTCCTCGTAGTGATCGATCTATATAAAATGTGAAATAACGTACTTACAAAAAGTTCAATCCTCAATAATAAAAGCTTCCAATTGTCATGTTACTGCTCGGATTAATCATGGGATATGCCTACATTCTAATCCAATAACTCAATTGATTCTGAATAAGTTTATCTTTTATGTTCGAGAAATATGCTTAAAAAAGTAGTTGAGATTAATTTCTAATTATCAAGGACGGACATAATTAAGAAGATGCTATCTTTATTGTTCTGGTTCAACTGGTGAGCTCCTTGAAGAAGAGAAGGGTGGAGATGGATAATGCAGACGAATAAAAGGATCCTGAAGGGATCTCGCATTTCAACGTTAATGGTGACCAATTGCAGGAGATTAGATTTGCCAGTATACTGCAGAGTCTCACTATGGTGCTAGCTAGATTATATTTTCTCGAATCAGCACTTGTGTTAGAAGAAAGTCTGTTTAATAAGAGTAGTCAGATCTCATGAATTAGGATTCTTTTATGTATTTCCTTAGATGGTATCAATTATAGATAAGAAGCATAAGCATACTCTTGGTGGTAATAGTACTAATTATATATATAATTAACAATAACAATGAAAATCAGAAGACACAAACCCCCATAATTTAGTACATAATTAACCCTAATATTATCATACTGTCATAGCCCTAACATCCATAATTAGTGGGACGAAAGCTTCTTGGAGCCCTCCACACACTTATTCTTCAAACTTCCCCTGCCACACTGAAATCTTCTTCTCTTTCTTACTTTCTACTTCTACTTCTACTTCATAATATCACCTGCAACACATATTTGAATTAGTCATAATTTCATTTGTATCAATCTGTGTTTGTTTGTGTGTGTGCTTGAGAGAGAGAGAAAGAGAGAGAGTACATGGTTCAAAGTTGGCAGTGCACTTGTCAGGGAGCTGCATGGCCATGTTTCGGTCGATGCCAGCGATGGGAGGGCCATTGACGAGAGTACACAAACAAGGCTGGCCGAGAGTTTTGACAGCGTTGCAGCAAGCATCACTTGGAGGAATGGGGCTGAAGGGAGCAACTGCTGCCCTACAAGGAATCAGCTGGACAAGTGCAGAGAAAAATGTGTTACCGCAAGGATGGCTCTGCCCTTGCTGCACCAAACATGTCATCACCAGAACAAACACCAGCATAATTGGCAGAGCCTTAGAGTTAAAACCCTTCATGTTCGAATCAATTACTTCAATTTTTTTTCAGTGGTGAAGGCTTAAGTCTGTGAGAATCACATATATAGGAAAACAGAGGCCAATGCCATATTGCACCTCCTTCCTAACTCTTAACCTAAAACCATTTTGATCATGCCACCCACAAGTTTAACTTGACAGATTGGTTGCACAGTTGGTGAACTCAAATTTCATGATACCTCGCAGCCCTGATATTTATTTTGAATAAAAATGCTCACCAGTAATCAGCTTTCCCAAGCTCACAAAAAAAAAAAAAAAAAAAAATCAATTTGTCCATGGTTAACTGCTTCAAAAACATGATTACGGAATGTTATGAGGGATAAAAAATTTCTTTATGGCTCATAACCAATGAAAAAAACACGAATAACTCCATCATAAGCTTCTACAAGAACTTAATGTGTTCACTTTCTATCAAAGATTCATATAATTCAGCACATTTATGCAGTTCTTAATTAATCTGCAAGAATATGCAGTAATATAATAAATGAAATATCAGTATCATTTTCTTCTTTATTGTGTAAGTCATTTCAACCCGACAAACTTGGGGTGCTGTTAATGTCTTTGATAAACAGCAAAGCAAATTTGTACATATTATAAGTTATCAAGACTCCCTTTACTTCCTTTTAAATTGATTACGGCGAGCTCTTGTTCAACAAACTCTCCTGCACAAATAGGAGGATACTTGCTGGCAAGAGGGGATTCCGCAAAGTGGCCTAAAGGCTTCAACACAGCATCTGATGCGATGTGGGCAAACAGCTACATATGACAAAAAATAACCATAAATAAGCATCTTGGGAGTTAAGAAAAGTCCATTACAACGAACTCTGAAAATGCCACTTAATGAAAATAAACAATGAGCTAACAGAATTGATAATACGTGTTGGCAACACTCACCGTTGAGGATACTCTCCATAGGCTGCGGTTTTGCTCTGATGCTAGTTTGATTGCATTGATTGTCCTGCTCATGACAATAACTTCATGCATGCCGGCAATGCAGTCTCCAGCAGTCAACCATTCTATCTGCACATATACATATACCCAGTACAAAGAGAAACAACTCAAGTTAAATTAAAAACATAATGGATCATTAGTGTATCAGTCTAAGCACTCAATTAATGAGGTGTGAGGAATCAAAATACAAGCAGTGAAAATCCATGTTGCAGAAGAAAGGAAGAATTTCTAGCACCCCCAATTAAGACATAATTCATTATGGTATACATATGTATAACTACTTATTTAATCTGTAGCATTATGGCTAAGTAAATGAGCCTCAATATACACCATATGCAAGTAACTAGATAAAACTCTGACATCTTAAAGTAATTGGGCAAAGCATAACTTCCATGATGGTAAAGGTATCAGTCTTTAAGATTGTCAAAATCCGACATCTAAGAATGTGACATTACTGTTTTCTTAAACATTTAGATTAATTGCTTTCTGTAAAAGCCAGCACATTCAGGTGGTGAACTAGTTTCTGCAACCAGCATCCTAGCAATTCATCAACAGAAAAGCAAAGATCATGCTCTTACCTGCTTTCCTGTCTGAATCAAAAGGCATCCTACAGGAACCTTCACTTCAACTTTTTGCCCATTCCTTAGCCAAATGTTTAGACCAGGGAATCTACTTCTGCCATGAATTGTTAGAAAGTTAAGGTCATAATGATATCCTGCAAACACAGTGCCCTCCTGACCATAACGACTGAGGTCACTCCCAGTTGGAGCAAGTAGATGTGGTCCCTGCATTTGAAAGGAAATAATATCAGCAGCTATAAAGTGCATAAAGTAGATAAGGACAGAAAGTTCTTTGATAGATATGAAAGCAATGTAGAGATAGAAATAAAAGTAATGTAGTGATATTAAGTGCCACTTGCAGACAACAGTAAGAAGGCAAATAATTCTGGGATAGAGAATTTATTGAGTAGAGAACCGAAAATACTAGTGAAGGCAACATCTAAAAACAGCTAAACTCTTAACAGAAACTGAAGCATCCAATCAAGTTATCAAATTGTTAGAAACTTTCAAAATATGGTCAGACCAGATTATCACGGAGGTTCCATTATCTATTTAATCCAGCATCAAATCATTTTCACTTATTCAATATTACCTTTTTTATCCATAAGATGTGGGCCTCTCAGCCTGGCCTATGAGATACAAAAATCTCATCTGGCTAGTTGTGACAAGGCATGAACAAGAATTCATATGCAACAGATTAAAATAGTTGATTCTAATTGCTGAATAACTTGATAATTTTTCTGGAAAACAAAAGGAGGAGAAAGATAAAAAGAAAGAACCAGAAACAAAAAGGTCAAAAGGAAATAACACAGTACTTCAGTTCTGGCATTTTATTGTAAAATCATATATAATCAGAAAATGGAATTAGAATCCACTTTGTAAGGATCCATGTGCCATCATTTAAAATTACAAAAGCCAAAGGAAATTGCGTATTCCCACTTCTCGGATAAAGTAGAGAAATACAAGCAGTGTGATAGAATAAAGTAAACTTGCAATCAAAGCTCTTTTAATAGCTGTTTGATTAGACCATTGACAACATAAAAACCTTTCTTATTATATTCTGATTTTAGTCTCAAAAACAAATTAGCAGCAAAGAGTTTGAGATAGACTTGAAGACACTAAATGATACAACTAGTTGAAATAGAACTGGTAAACATTTTTCACCTGCTTCATAAGAGAAGTGAATGCATCCTTTGGCAAGCCAAAACCAATAGCTGCCATTTCAGCAACAACCTGAGCCAAGAATTAAGGTACAAGAAATCATTAAATAATACTAATCAGCTTTACATAAACCAAACTGCAGAATTAACTCACCTCTATGGCAGATATCATTTTGTATCCCCAGGAGTCCATGGTATCTTTCCACTCAGGAAAGCCTTCAGGTATGACAGGCTCTGAATTAAGTTCCTGCACAAGAGAGATGGAAATTAGAATACAGTAGGCAAATTATATGAATATAACTGAAACAGCAGCAAGGTGAAACCTGAAAGCGGGTGTTTGACGGCCGAGGACCAACTCTCCACATGTATCGCCACTTTGGATCTGGTCCCCTTGGCAAGGATGGCTGAGACTCTTTGGGCATTACTTTTAGTTTCTCTTGCATTTCCTCATCAACCAGGCTTCTTGGAACTTCTACTCCTTCTGGAGTCACCCCAACCTATTAACTCCATAACACCAGAAACCTATTTAACATACTTATGCCACATACATCAATTTGAACTTACAAGATGAACATTAGCAACTAGAAAAGCTGTTTCATTTCCATCTATTCTTGTGAAAATTCATTCCTGTTAAATAAAATTTAAGCATCTTTATCCAGTTTCCAACAACATTTCTCACTTTCTGCTAGACTATTAAAAGAAAGCGACTTCAACTCCTTCTATATATGCATCAAACCCCATCAATAGTTAAATACAAAAGGGAAAGAACTCTTTACTTTATTTTAAACGATCACAAACAAGCCAAAATATAACTAAGACAATCTTTGTACATTAGGTACTAAACTTACATAATTACTCCACTGTTTAGGAACTAAGTGTGATCAATACATTCAAGACAAAAATTGAAAATTTCTCATCAACATGCCACTGGTTATATTGATTATTAACATATACCCATTAGAATATGTTCTGCCTACAACCAAAGATAGTCAATCAATATTTTCGATTTTTAAAGTAACCGAGCCATTTCATGTAAAATACTGCAAGGATATTCCTTACTTCTTCCAAAGCTTTCTCATCTCCAAAAGAAACATAAAATAAAAAATAAAAAAACATAGTTCCTAATTCAACTCGTGCCATGCGAATTCTATCAAATTTCCAAAAAGACCACTACATCAGATTTTGTTAATTTTTTTTCTGAACCTTACAATGTTCTTTTGCTAATCATGTTACAAATCTTCCTTCATTTCCCACACTTTCACAGCAACCAAACAGAAACCAAGAAAAATTCCATTAATAGTATATTCCCACATTGCAACGCAAATTCAAGTTCACAAAGAAAGAATCAAGATTTTCTATTTCCTCCACATTTATTCAATTGAACCTTCCTCTCTTACCCCACATCTCCTCAATAACCAAACAAAAACATTAAAAGTTCAACTTTTTAAATGTATTTTTTTTCCTCCCCACTCAGTTTAGTCAAAATTCACTCAACTTTCTCACTTCTTAACAAATCTAAAACCAGAAACATAAAAAGCTGAAAGAAAATAAAATCTAAAATAAAATTATAAGTCTCAGACCTGGTAATGCAAATTGGGCCTCTCCTGCAACAGCTTGAACTCCTTAGGACTCTCGAAGTACTTCTCCATCATATCGATGAACCGATCGTTGTCCTCCACCGTACATCTCGGATCCTTCACCAACAGAGCCCCCGTTTCTCTCAGAATCCGACTAACTTCCCGGCACAACTGACCGAGTTCACTTGACACTTTCGCCACGTCATCGTCTCCGCTCGGTTTGCCGCCGGCTGACAAATACGGAGCTAGATCTATCACCGGTAGATCCATCTTTGTTTTCTTTTTTTTTCTTTTTTCAAATTAATTAATTTTTGCTTTCGGAGATTTTAAAAAAGTCAGAACTCGGAAAGTGAGAAGAAAAGCTTGTGGTGATGGCGGGAGATTAATCTATTGCTTTTATATGGTAACTGATTAAGCCTCGGGAGACGCGCGATTCTCCTTTTTCAATTTAATTTTGATTTTGTAATAAATGCAAATTTTCTATTTCGATATAATTTTATTTTATTATACATTTTCCAAATTATTTATAATGTAACGTACACGTATACTTTTATTCTATTATAAAGTATCACGCAAAGGGTTATAATAAAATTATTTATAATATAATAAATTCTGTATATACTTTTTTAAATTATGAAAAAAAAAAATTCTGGGTCGAGACCCGCCTTCGTGACCATTTTTCTTGCTAAACTAAACCCTTCATTGTATTTCCTTTTTTTTTTTTTTTTTAATCAAGGTATTCCGTTAACTTATGTATATATCAACTAATTCATCAATTAATCTTTCACTTAAATTATGAATACTCATATGAGGTCTCGCATCGACTAATCTCTCCACTTATCCCTACTTAAATTATAGATGTTCAAATAAGGTCTTGTATCGACTAATCCTCCCACTTATCTCCACTTAAATCGTGAATGCTTAAATGAGGTCGAGAGATTGTATTTCTTTTTTCTTTTTTTTTTAATCAATGTATTTGGGTCAGCTTATGTACATATCAACTAATTCATCAATTAATCTTTCACTTAAATTACGAATGCTCATACGAGATCTCGCATCTGCTAATCCCTCCATTTATTCCTACTTAAATCGTAGATGTTCAAATGGGGTCTTACATCGACTAATCCTCCCACTTATCTCCACTTAAATCGTGAATGCTTAAATGAGATTAAGGGAAACTAAGCGTAGCAATCCACCGTCACAACCGTCCAATTATCATTAGAAAAGACTAGTATAACAACCTTACATCACGACCCCTCACTTATCCTCACTTAATTAGATAAGGAATCGAATTTGAAATTGTATACATATTCACACTATTTCCAATCCACCTTAGCCATATGGACAATCAACAAATGGGTCCTAATCGTATTTCATATCAAGCAATCTCACAAAAAGATAAATAAAAATAGATTTTGTGTGGAAAAAAAATGGTGAGTTTGTTGAGATAAATCATAAATGTATTAAGTTCGGGCTTTAATAAGGGAAAGCGTTATTTTCCTTTAAAAGCGGGCAAAATTTTACGTTAACCAGGTATACTAATTATACGTAAGCTCAAGTATTTAGTAATATGTTAATCCGTGCAATCTTTAAAATCTGAATACAAATATTATTTCTAGGTTAAACCATCCCACTACGTCAAGTAACAATGCTTTTCTTTTCATTGATAAATTGGTCATTTTCCTGACTTAAAGCCGTAAATAATATAAATATTTATTTATAATCAAAAGTAAATCACCTTTATTATTAACAACTCATCAATTTTTTGCACCATTAGATTAAGCGAATGCATGGCTAAAGAAAGGTAATATAGGCTGTCTCCAATTTATTAATTAATGTTGTACATAATTCTTCAATTTAAATATGGTAATATTTTGCTTCTCTAAGTTGGATTCGCATATTACATGGTCAAGCATTTACATGACATTTTTTTTTTTAAATTAAAGTATACAATATAGGAAACAACACTATAAACAAAATATTTAACAAAAATAATTTCTTCCCTTTTTAGCAGAATTATTAGAATATAATTGTAATGCATATGAAAAATCGAGAATCGTAACGGGAGGCGACAAAGAAGAAGTATGAGTTGATAATCCGTGAGACAAAAAAAAAATTATCAACAGAAAAAATAATGATAATAAAGTATTTAAAAACGATCATAATTCAGAGTAAGATAATAAAATTCAAATTAATTTAAAATTTAAAATCTAAAATTAGATGATGGGTATTGAATCGGGTCCAAGCTCAATACGAAGCCCAAAACCAAGCCCAAATAATTAGAAGTTTGGCACCCCTCGTTATGATATTAAAGAAAATCGCCGCCTCACACTGCTTCTCCGTCTCGTTGCTCCTCCCTTTTACCCTCCTAAAACCCTCACCAGCTATTTATATTTTCATTTATCGGCTCTTTATAATACTCTCATACATTCCTGATTTAATTCCGAGCTCCCGATTGGTAATATATTTACAAGCTTCATCTCCTTTTCCATATTGAAATTTTTAATCAGCTAACCGGTTTGTTAAGCTTGTTAGAGTTTGTTCTGATTGTATAAGTTTTAAGATAAATTTATGTTCTGATTAGTTTCTTTGTAGAGTCTTTTTGGCTGTGAATTTGAGCAACGTGAATTTGTGATGCTCAGTATTTGTTTTCAATGTATTAAGTTTTATATGATTTGTTTTTTTTTTTTATATATTTATTCTATGAAGAGGAGGAAACTACTGTGTTTGTTTGTTTACTTTTCATTATAATGTATATTGATTTGAAGTTGAGAAATATCTCATTCGAAATTGTATTTTATATTTGAATGAAATATTTGGACTTCTTGATTGTAATACTTATTTTTAACTTCTATTTGATAGTTAGAAGTTCTTGATTGGGAGAGTTGAAAGATGGCGGGGAAATCTAACAAAGGGAGGAATCGGAAAGGCGCACATGCTGCTGCTACCATTTCTTCAGAACAGGTAGTGTCATCAGATGCTCCTGTTAAAGATAACATGACTGTTGTGGAGTCTGCAGACATTGAGGCTAATGGAGTTCAAGCTGTGAGTGAAACAACTGATGCTCATCCGGAGGTCAAGGAGGCTGAAACAGAAAATTCAGCTAACGAACCAAAACAAGGTGAAGTTAATTGCATGTTTATGTAAAACAAAAATGTAGGTTAGCATTTTGAGAAATATATAATGGTCCCTAATGGCTAACCTTCAATGAGTTTGGGATTGTACTATTATTAAAAAAAAAAAAACTTATTAATAGAAGAATAAGGAAGTTCTAGTTTAATTTTCATTTGCTTTACGCTAGCTTCAAACAGTTAAATTCATGTTTATCTTCTTATGCTGCATCTATTTTATAGCTGACAAAATTGATAGAAGGATACAATTAGGTTAATGAGAGAGCTGTTTCATTATTTTGATGATGGAAAGGAAAGACACGTCTCTATATGTGCAAATATTATTTATTCATAAGTTAACAATTTGGCTATTCTAGCATATAAATTTCCTTTTCATAATTACATATCTAATATATTAGGCCTGTCTTAGTTTCATTTCTGAGACTTCTAATCTCACTGTCTCATTGCAAGTTTGCTGCCTCTTCGAGTTTGTCTTTGTGGTATTCAACCTGAAGTATATTTATGTTAAAATTCTATTGGAAGGTATTGTTCGTGCATATGACTAAAGGTTAGAGTTAATTGAATTAGGTACTTATGTTCATAACTCAACTGAACTCAACTATTGCAGAGTTCCTTTTTTTTTTTTTTTTTTTTTTTTTTTTTTTAATCTGCTATTTTGAGTGCTTTTTTTCATTTCCATTTCAGCATTATGGCTTTTTGCTGCTAGCATCTAACACTTAACTTTATTTGAGGGTTTTCTCAGAGAGATGACCTCTTATTTCTGGCACTTAGCTTGAGGATATTTTTTCTTAGATGCATAAACATGAATTTGTTTCACAAGTTCTAATCAACTCACTGTGCCTTGTGATAATTTATATTTGTCCATCTTGACCCTGTTTTGTGGTTTATGAGATCTGATTTTTATTTTTATTTATTTATTTATTTTTTGGGTATCTATTGGACATCATATATGTGATTTCCTTTATGCGATTGCAGGTGATATTAATCTCTATCCTGTATCTGTCAAAACACAAAGTGGTGAGAAGCTGGAACTACAAGTAAGCTAACTTATTCAGGAATCAGTACCTGTTAGTTATACGGCCTTTTGGAAATTATTATAAAATGAAGAACAACACAGCACAAGCATCTGCAGCTTAATTTTGTTCGATGGCTTTATTTTTTCCATTTACCATTGTGGAGGTTGTTTAGATTCTTCATTTTTGGCATATGACTTGTTTGTTTCCTAGTTATCCACCAATTACCATATTCTTGAATCCACTTTTGGCAGCCTACTTAAAACTTCTCAGTTGTTGAATCAATTTATATTCGCAGTTGAACCCAGGAGATTCTGTCATGGATATAAGACAATTTCTTCTTGATGCCCCAGAGACATGTTTCTTCACATGTTATGACTTATTGCTGCAAACAAAAGATGGCTCAACTCATCATCTGGAAGATTACAATGAAATATCTGAAGTAGCTGATATCACTACTGGCGGTTGCTCCTTGGAGATGGTTGCTGGTATACTGACATTTCTTCTCATTTATTTTTGTTTGTAACATCTACTTGTGGACTCTAACATGTTAGTTACTTTGGCAGCATTATATGATGATAGATCTATCAGGGCTCATGTTCACCGCACAAGGGATTTGCTTTCCCTCTCAACACTTCATGCCTCACTGTCCACATCACTTGCATTACAGTATGACCTGTCACAGAAAAAAACTTCAAGTTCAGGAGGTTTGCGATATTAAGCATTTAGCGCCCCTCTTTTGATATTCATTGTATCTGAGCTCATCTCTAGAATGATTGGATTTTTGCTATAATCCAGATACTGTTAAAACTGATGTCCCGGAGCTTGATGGTCTGGGTTTTATGGAGGATGTTTCTAGCTCACTTGGTAAATTGCTGTCATCTTCTACACAAGAGATCAAATGTGTGGAGAGCATTGTATTTTCCTCCTTTAATCCTCCCCCAAGCTATAGAAGGTAGATATGAAACTTTGAGGCACATGTAAAAATGTTTATTTATTTACTTACTTACTTTCTATACTTGCATTTCTTAAAAGAATTGTGAAATAGGTATTAGAAAAATAATGTGTGGTGTTTTTCTTGTCTTCAGGCTTGTTGGGGATTTGATTTATTTGGATGTAGTAACATTGGAGGGAAACAAATATTGCATAACTGGAACCACAAAAATGTTTTATGTTAATTCAAGTACAGCAAATGTCCTTGACCCTCGGCCAAGTAAAGCTACTTCTGAAGCAACTACCCTTATTGGGCTCTTGCAAAAGATTAGCCCCAAGTTCAAAAAGGGTAACTAAACATGTTCTGTAACTTGTTAAAGCTTTGAGGTATCAGGTGTTATTATATTTGTCTCTAATTTTTATTTCCTTGTGTGTTGTTATTTGAAGCATTCCGTGAAATCCTTGAGAGGAAAGCCTCTGCACATCCGTTTGAAAATGTTCAATCTCTGTTGCCTCCAAATTCATGGCTGGGGTTATATCCAGTTCCTGGTAAGTTAATTGTTTTAGAAGTTTATTTGATGTTCTTTATGCGGGGATACAATCTTGCCCCTTGGAGTTGTGAATAGCATGCTTCACAAACCAACATAAGACCCTGTACACAGGATGGTATAATATTAGCTGAAGAGAGTACATGTATGATCATTTCAGTCATTTCCTGAAGTTTCCATTTTACTTGGCTATGATGCTTTTTCTGTTGCTGATTTGTAACAATCACTGCAACCGTATAATTCACTATTTCCAATGACCAATATGCATTTGTAAATGAGCATATTTATCATTAATTACTATAAGAAGTTCAGAGTTTATTCTTCTCTCTTGTAATATGAGTATGTTATGTGATTTTATATGGTAAAGTCTGCTTTGAGGACATGTATTATGGTTAAATTGTGTTGAAATGTGCAGTCTTGTTTAGTTTATTTGAAAAATTGGTTAGTTTTATTAAAGGTTTTGAATCAATGACGGTGATGATTCTAACTGATGCTTACACTTCTTAGTTGTTGTCTTGATTTATTTGTTTGTTTGTTCTAGTGAATTTTGGATTACATGTGTGCATTGAGTTTAGTTTGTTGATGCAATGGGCATGTATATTCCATACAGCAAATCAATTGTTTTTGAGATGTTTGATAGTTTAGTATTGATACAGCAATACAGGGGTGCTGATTTGCATGCATGTTTGGCAATTTCATGCATCCATGAGGTTTGTATCATATGATTGTTTTGGCATTGTTCTGTTGTCAGATCACAAGCGTGATGCAGCTAGGGCAGAGGATGCACTGACTCTTTCATATGGTAGTGAGCTAATTGGCATGCAAAGAGATTGGAATGAAGAATTGCAATCTTGTCGGGAATTTCCCCATACAAATCCCCAGGAAAGGTATATTTGATTATTTATCAAGTGTTTTTTTTCCACATATAAAATTCATTTAGTAGCTTTAATTTGACTATGGCTTCCATAATATAAGAGTTAATTGTTTCTTTTAGAGGATCTCCTCCCTTCTGAAGATGATTTTGTTGCAGGGTTTTGCGGGACAGGGCTCTGTAAAAAGTGACTTCTGATTTTGTTGATGCAGCAGTCAGTGGTGCTGTTGGAGTCATAAGCAGATGTATACCCCCTATAAATCCAACTGATCCAGAGTGCTTTCACATGTTAGTGTACCTGAAGAAATTCTGTAATCAATTTATAGGTTCTTTTTGCTTTTGGTTTGTTTACAATGCTTTATTTATCCAAAAAAAGAAGTAAATCTATTGTATTGACTGCTTTTCAATCTTCATTATATATAGGTTTATTCAACACTCATGCATATATATGCATATAGGTGTATGAATGTTTTTGCTTGATTGGATGAATGCTTTAATTAAATGTTTATAAAGGTGACAACTGCTTACACCTGTTACCATTCTAGCCCCCTGTTATTACTTTTATGGATTACATTATACCACTTTTTCACATATGGAAACACTACTTTTTGCAATGTGTTATTTCCATTTTATACTGTTTGATGTGCTCTTTGTTGTATACTATTTTTTTTTTTTTTGGAGTGATTTTTTAAATACATCATATTATTTATTTTCATTATTATGTCTATTGTGGAGCTAAAACTGTCATATTACCTGTGGATTTTAGGTATGTTCACAACAATATATTCTTTAGTTTTGCGCTGGATGCGGACCTTGAACAGCTGTCAAGGAAATGCTCATCTGTTACCAAGTTAAATATTGAGGGCATTGGTGCTTCAACCAATTTGTCTGAAAAGGTTTCCAATGATGTTGTACAAGGGGTTGGGGGAATTTCCAAAGGTGAGAGTACGGGGGAACCCAATGGCGTTGTGGAGTTGACTCAAGTACCTGCTGAAACCCAGTTGGCTGAGAGTGAGCAGGCTACATATGCTTCTGCAAATAACGATTTGAAAGGCACCAAGGCATACCAGGAAGCTGATGTCCCTGGACTTTATAATCTTGCTATGGCTATAATTGATTACAGGGGTCATAGAGTTGTAGCTCAGGTGTGTATAAACCATGAGTTTACCTTCCTTTTATTGGAAGGTAATGATCATTTTAGTAGTCAACTTCTTGAACAGTTCTTTTGACCATGTGCCTTTTCAAATTTACTTAAATGCAACACAGTATCTTATATGTTTCTGTGACCATTCTTTTGTAGAGTGTTTTACCTGGCATTCTTCAAGGTGACAAATCAGACTCCCTTTTGTATGGTTCTGTTGACAATGGCAAGAAAATATGCTGGAATGAAGATTTCCATTCCAAGGTTAGGTGGAATATGAAATTTCACTGACTTACTGTTGTGAAGTTCCTCATTTACATTTGTTAATCTTCATTTGAAATTTGTGTTCCTTTGGGTCTCAACCCTTATATTTGCTATATAAAGTTTCGAGAGGTATGTTTCTTCAGGTTCTTGAGGCTGCTAAACGCCTTCATTTGAAGGAACACACAGTCCTTGATGGATCTGGAAATGTTTTCAAATTAGCTGCTCCTGTGGAATGCAAGGGCATTGTTGGGAGTGATGACAGGTGATTAATCTCCTGAGTTGGTTTATCTCTAATCAAAGAGAATTTTGATTATTGCTTCACAACTTTGCTGGAATTATTGCCCTTCTTTGTGGTGGTTACCTATTTTTATAATATGATTTTCAACTTTTGAGTAAATTAGTTTTGGTTATGAAGGTCTTTATTTGGATTTTAAAAAATTGTTTCATAGCCCGATTTTGTTGCTAAAAGATTAACATTTTATTTTTTGTATCTATTAAACCTCAATTTCGTGCTCGTATACAGCTTTATTGCTTGTATTTGGGATGTTACAGTTTACATGCTTAATGATAAATGAATAGAATCAACTGCTTATCATGTTTTCTTAAAGCAGCTAGGTTTCTGTGTTTTTTTTTTTTTTTTCTCTCATTTCAGGCATTATCTTCTGGACTTGATGAGAGTAACTCCTCGTGATTCGAACTACTCTGGACCTGGGTCCAGATTTTGTATTTTGAGGCCAGAATTAATTACTGCCTTTTGCCAGGTATGAAATATATATTATTTGAAAATAGAAACATTATATTTGGTCATTCTATACATATATATATATATTATGCCACGTATNATAATTGATTACAGGGGTCATAGAGTTGTAGCTCAGGTGTGTATAAACCATGAGTTTACCTTCCTTTTATTGGAAGGTAATGATCATTTTAGTAGTCAACTTCTTGAACAGTTCTTTTGACCATGTGCCTTTTCAAATTTACTTAAATGCAACACAGTATCTTATATGTTTCTGTGACCATTCTTTTGTAGAGTGTTTTACCTGGCATTCTTCAAGGTGACAAATCAGACTCCCTTTTGTATGGTTCTGTTGACAATGGCAAGAAAATATGCTGGAATGAAGATTTCCATTCCAAGGTTAGGCGGAATATGAAATTTCACTGACTTACTGTTGTGAAGTTCCTCATTTACATTTGTTAATCTTCATTTGAAATTTGTGTTCCTTTGGGTCTCAACCCTTATATTTGCTATATAAAGTTTCGAGAGGTATGTTTCTTCAGGTTCTTGAGGCTGCTAAACGCCTTCATTTGAAGGAACACACAGTCCTTGATGGATCTGGAAATGTTTTCAAATTAGCTGCTCCTGTGGAATGTAAGGGCATTGTTGGGAGTGATGACAGGTGATTAATCTCCTCAGTTGGTTTATCTCTAATCAAAGGGAATTTTGATTATTGCTTCACAACTTTGCTGGAATTATTGCCCTTCTTTGTGGTGGTTACCTACTTTTATAATATGATTTTCAACTTTTGATTAAATTAGTTTTGGTTATGAAGGTCTTTATTTGGATTTTAAAAAATTGTTTCATAGCCCGATTTTGTTGCTTAAAGATTAACATTTTATTTTTTGTATCTATTAAACCTCAATTTCGTGCTCGTATATAGCTTTATTGATTGTATTTGGGATGTTACAGTTTACATGCTCAATGATAAATGAATAGAATCAACTGCTTATTGTGTTTTCTTAAAGCAGTTAGGTTTCTGTGTTTTTTTCTTTTTTTTCAGGCATTATCTTCTGGACTTGATGAGAGTAACTCCTCGTGATGCGAACTACTCTGGACCTGGGTCCCGATTTTGTATTTTGAGGCCAGAATTAATTACTGCCTTTTGCCAGGTATGGAATATATATTATTTGAAAATAGAAACATTATATTTGGTCATTCTATACATATATATATATATTATGCCACGTATCTTATGCTCCATTCTTGTGCTATTTTGGTATTATGGGAGAAGGCTGAAGCTGCTGGAAAATTGAAATCTGTGTTTAAATCTGAGGGCAAGGCTGATGCGACATCTGATTCTATAAAAGTGGCTGGTGCTGAAGAGCCAGTAAGGATTTTCCCTTTATGAACTTAGCACTTGTTTTGTAGAATGTTCTTTAGATAATTGCATTATAACATATGCTGTGTAACTGTCATTCATGTTACTAAGTGCACATTGTTGTGCATTCATGTCACGTCTCTATGTTTCACTTCATTTTTTCCCACCAATGAGCAAAATAGGAAACTCTTATCTCTGTTATAGTGTCAGTTGGCATGCTAATAGCATGGCGTTTTACGTTGTAATAGAAGTCATGAATTCCTCACTGCCAAATTTCTCTTTAGTTATTTGCATTGAAAAAAATAAATACGCAGGACTTAAAATTCTGGATTCTGGTGAGGTCAACTGACATGGAGTAAGAAGACACCCTCCTGCTTATGTAATTGGTTTCATTTTTCCACATGAATACACTTATGATAAAGAGATATTCATGTAAATTATTATTACTTTTTTGGGTCATGGCATTTTTGCTTAAAAAGTTATCCTTACTCTTGGATTAGCAAGTCACATTTAGTGATTGCAACTGTTATTTATCTTCCTCTTGGTCTAAAATATTGGCAGTAACTAGACGATGAAATTATTGGAAGAATTATGAGCTCAATGTCCATCCGATGTTTCATCCTGATTGGATTTAAGCAGCAAAAGAAAATGTGGAAAATTATATTGCAAATATTATGTGCATTTATTGTATTCTAGATATTATGCGCATTTGTTCTTTCTTTGGAATTATAAATATTCATTTTTTTAGCAAGAAACGCACAGTAACGGAAAGTAATCATCTGCATTTTTTTATGTCTACTCAAGATATATTTGTTAAGTGAATCCAAATAAATTGATTCATGTGGCTCATCTTGTTGATCCTTAGGATACAACAAAAGAGGAGAAGATTGAGGCTGTCCAAGAATGTGCTTCTACACCTATAGAAAGTTCTGAATCATGCGAGGAGATACAATTTAACCCCAATGTTTTAACTGAATTTAAGTTGGCTGGGAGTCAAGAGGTGTGTTTAAAAACTTAAAATGTTCTTTTCTATTCAATGGTTTGATATGCTGAAGTTCTTTTATGTTGCTCGTTTCCTTTGTTTTTCCAGGAGATAACAGGAGATGAAGAAAATGTAAGGAAAGTTAGTTCTTACCTTGCAAATGTTGTGCTTCCAAAATTTATACAAGACCTTTGCACACTTGAAGCTTCACCAATGGATGGCCAGACACTGACTGAAGCACTGCATGCTCATGGAATTAATATTCGATATATTGGGAAAGTAAGTTTTATATGTTTTAGTTGATGCTTTGAAACCCTAAACCCTTGAGCTATTTATTTTACCCTACAAAAAGGAATCTAGTTGATGGCACACAGGTAAGCTCTTTCCTTTTCCGTTTGATTTTTCTGCATGTGTTTTAACACGAGTAATTTTGCCAGGTAGCTGATGGGACCAAGCATTTACCACATCTATGGGATCTCTGTTCTAACGAAATTGTAGTCAGGTCCGCAAAGCATATCATCAAGGTGATTTCATTTCTTATCTACTTCAACATTAGTTGATCCTTGGAAGGGTTTTAGTATCTGTTTTTATTTATTTTTATAATTTTTAATGAAGTTTTTGTGAAAGTAATTGGAGGTTGAGGTGTGGCGTTGATCTATATACTGAAATTGTTAAATATGTGTGTAGTTTAAATATAGACATGGATTTTGAATCAAGTGTGAGCCATTTCTTGTTCGTATCATTTTTCACAAACTACACAGTTGTTGGAGGTTTTGGTTTTAGCACTTTGAAGTCCCAAGTAAAATAGTTAAAGAAACAGTTTGATTTTGTTGCTTACTTGAACTTGAAACTATTATTCTGTTCTTTTGGCATGTAGAATTGATTAATATTGAACAGTTATTGTGCAGACCCCGTCTTCGATTTTATTTTGTTTGTTTACCGGGGGTTTACCTTTTTGCTACCCATTTCTGGTTATGCAGGATGTTTTAAGAGATATAGAGGATCATGATCTTGGCCCAGCACTTGCACATTTTTTCAACTGTTTCTTTGGAAGTTGTCAAACTGTTGGGGGCAAAGTTGCTGCTAATAGTATGCAGTCCAAAACCCAAAAGAAAGTATGTGACTTGTATCCTTCCTTTTGTAGTTTTCTCCATATATGTTTTTGTGCTAAGCTCTTATATGCAGATTTGGGGTTCCGTACTTTTTTCTCTTTATAATGACTCTGTAGTATTACACCAAACTGTATACCGAAGCTTTTTCATGGTAAAAGAAGTGTTTTGTTGAACCAGCATATTTATCGGAAAAATGTTCAGTATGCTCAATTTTTATTTTTATTTTTTTGAATTAGTTTTATATCTATTTTTTCAATTTCATTTTCTAGGTTAACCTTAAGACTGGACTTTGTAATTTATTTTCAAGTATTTACAGGACCAGGCGAGCCATCAGTCTGCAGGCAAGTCCTCTAAGGGCCAAGCCAGGTGGAAATCTAAAGCTTCTGCTACAAAGCATCATTCCTCTTATATGAATATTAGCTCAGAAAGTCTATGGTCTGACCTCAAAGAATTTGCGAAGTCGAAATATCAGGTATTAAATTCTTATTTCTAAAAGATGCTTATAGGAGTATGAGACATCCTTTGGAAGTTGGAAGCTGTTTAAATTCATTTGGTTAAGAATGAGTTCATTTCTTTCCACCTTGCTTATCTTAAGTTTTGAAAATTATGATTGCATGGGGAGATGTTCTTTCAAAAATGTCAAGTTTGGATTAGGGATGAAGGATGAATGTTTGTTAGACTGGCATGTTCCTTGTAATCTTGATCTCTGGGAATCTCTGCCATGTACACTTTGTGATGTTATTGCTGGTTATGTGTTTGATTTATGTTTCAAACTAAACGAATCTCTGTTTGGTGTAGTTTGAGTTGCCTGAGGATGCAAGATTGCGAGTAAAGAAAGTCTCAGTTATGCGTAATCTTTGCCAAAAGGTATTTTGATAACTCTGTAATATTCGGGTTACAAACTTTGTTTTTACAATCGGGCTTCTCTGTTCTTTCAGAATATTATATAATTGCTGTTCACATGCTATTATTTTCCCTTGGTGAATGGAATGGTCTTGAGACCCATCAGGGCAGGCCTGATATGTATGAGAGTCAAGAGATAAATTTTTTTATTTTTTTTCAATTGTAACAAAGAAGCCTCTAGAAATTAAAAGATTGTAAAAGATGCTTTTTCAATCTTGATTAATGTAATGATTGGATCATTATGGTGACACTTTGCTGAACATTAAAAATATCTGCATGGTTGAACATGCTGAAACATTAGTTGGGCTGTCTGCCTCCCGGCAATTCTTTTGCCAAATATTTTAAGCACTTCTTTACTAAATTTTCCTTTAGATGATTTCTTGATCAATGGTTGTGGATTGAGCCAATATAATTTTGCCTTTGCCACAAGCTGTTGGTTTCTTCATATTTAATGCATGTTGTGTTGCATCTCTATTAACTTGTCAGTATTAGCTATAGTTGCAATATAGCATGAGCTTCACATACTTTTTAATACCTTGGTATCTGCCTTCTGTCTACTACTTATGTTTCGTATACTTAAATTTATGTTCTAATTTGTTTTGTCTTGAATGTGCTTCTGGACTTGAGTTTGAGCTTCTATCTTAAATATGGTTCTTTAATAGGTGGGCATAAGCATTGCAGCTCGCAAATATGATTTCAATGCTGCAACACCTTTCCAAACTTCAGATATCCTTAATCTCCAGCCAGTAGTGAAGCATTCAGTTCCTGTATGTTCTGAAGCTAAGAACCTTGTTGAAATGGGGAAAGCTCAATTATCTGAGGTAATTGTGCTCTGTTACGTTATTCATGACCCTCGGCAAGGGATCCATAATTTGGAGTTATCAACTTTGTCAAATTTAGAAATTGAAGAATACTTGATTTCAGAAGTATATTAAAGTAACTGAGGGAACTCCTGAACATTGTTCTAGTAGTGGAATTAAGCCATATATTTCTTATAGCTGGCATAATACATGTTTGGATCAGATTGCTGACATATCATTATTTGTTAAATTAATAAGCATACATTTGAAATTCTGAATTATATCAATAGTGTGGAAGTTAATGATATTTAGTAATATGTTAATTGTACATAATGGTTTCAGTCACGTGAATTATGTGCTATATTAAGATTTGCTACTGCATGGTGATATGTAGAACTCTGATCCAAGCGCTGCTAGCCGAACATGATCTGATAATCTTTTTGGAGATAAATGTGGTTAACTTCTGCCACTTTCTGTCTCAGGGTCTGCTTAGTGAAGCCTACACATTGTTTTCTGAGGCATTTTCAATACTTCAACAGGTATGTTCATCACTTTTTGTTATGTGCTTTTTCAAAGATTATTGTGTGTGTATATTCTCATTTCTTTCTTGAATGGATTTCAGGTGACTGGTCCAATGCATCGGGAGGTTGCCAACTGCTGTCGGTAGTTACCTCACTTCAATCATTATGCAATTTTTTTTTACCTCTACACATGCTAGCTTCATATTAGAATCATCATAATCATGCTTGTTTACCCATACTTTCTATTGTAGCTAGGACTGCAGGTGAGTTGAACTTAGTAACCTGAATATCTTAATTATTAGAGCCTGGAGCTTTAGCTCAACTCATGGGCTTGAAATTTACAGCTGAAAGCTAGGATGCCTGTATGCTAGGTTTATGTTTAAGACAAATGGAGCATAAAATCCCCTGGTCTTCACATCCGATGAAGAATTTTGAAAATAATATGATGTAACCAATATAATTATTGAAAACAAAATTGTTCCAGAAACCTGGGAACAAGGTAGCCCCCATGCTGTTGCATGCCGTTAAATGACTGCTTCAAATTATGAGAATGAGTGAAGGACCATTTTTATAGAGCCATGTCTTCCCATCCCTTATATTTTTTATGTTCAAAAGAGTCATTTTAAAAATTCAGAAAGTGGCATTATTATTTTCAATGAAATATGATTTGCTTGGATCCTACTGAGTAGAATTAAAACACTAGCAGTACTATAGATAACTAAGCCGGCTTGTGAAGGGAAGCAGGAGTTTAGGTTTGGGATCATTTATTTAGATGAGCTTGATGCTGAGTTCAGGCTTAGATTTTATGCATCAATGAGCAAACTGGGCTAAGTTTTTCAAAAATCCAAGGTTGTCATGTTGAAAAAGTCAACTATTGTAACTGTTTATGTTAACACTGTTGCTTTCATAGTTAATAAACTGTGCTGCTTGATGTATCTGTGGCAGTGTGCTGAAACTCTTTCTCAAATGTTCAGGTACCTTGCCATGGTTTTGTATCACGCAGGAGACATGGCTGGAGCCATTATGCAACAGCACAAGGAACTAATTATAAATGAACGTTGCTTGGGTCTTGACCACCCTGATACTGCTCACAGGTACTAGTCATTATGTTTGCTATCTTCATTTTGTTTACTATCCTCATATTGTTTAGTGAGTTTTTAGCCATGTACTATCTTCTTTAATATTAACTTCAGAATGGAGTTACTTTAGATCTTGAAATTTTTATGCCTATGATTAATTATTATGAACTAAATGAAGTTGTAAGTTCATAAATGGAGGCAAACATCTGATAAAATTTTACATGTATCCTTTAAATTGTGTAAAATGTGAGGCATTTTCATGTCAGTTGTGATAGAATGATTTTGAACTTCACTTCCAACCATCAGCATAACTTTCCTCTCATTTCATCTTTTCTGGGCAAATTGTCAACTCATTTTGGTCTTTGATATGTTCTGCAGCTATGGCAATATGGCTCTTTTCTATCATGGACTTAACCAAACAGAGCTTGCACTACGGCACATGTCCCGGGCATTGCTCTTGCTGAGTCTTTCATCTGGCCCAGATCATCCTGATGTGGCTGCAACTTTCATTAATGTTGCAATGATGTACCAGGACATTGGGAAGATGGACACAGCTCTCCGTTATTTGCAAGAGGCCTTGAAAAAGAATGAGAGGCTTCTAGGTGAGGAGCATATACAGACCGCTGTGTGCTATCATGCCCTTGCCATCGCATTCAACTGCATGGGTGCCTTCAAACTGTCTCACCAGGTTTGTCTTATAGGAATTATTTGTCTGGTTTATAGTGAACTGCTATCAAATGCAGCTGACTGATTTGAGCTTTTGTTATTATCAGCATGAAAAGAAAACCTATGATATACTTGTCAAACAACTTGGTGAGGAGGATTCCAGAACAAAAGACTCACAAAATTGGATGAAGACATTTAAGATGCGGGAAGTTCAGGTAATAGCATCTTAGAGCAACAGAAATGAGAAAGATGAACCCCTAGTCTCTGTCCGTATATATATGAATATTTGTTGTTTTTTTTCCTTATTCAGCCTCTGTTTTTATAGTAGTTTTTGTTTTCAGAAGTAAAGAAACTGTGTCAGTTGGAAAACATGCAGTGCCTGCCTTTTCAGCAAGGATATCCATATTTTGTTTGCGGAAGTGTTTCTAGAAATTATTAGGAATGATTACATTATAATTTGCTTTGCATTTCTTTTTTCTAATTTTTTAAAATTCATCATTTCATGTGTTATGAAAACCCCTACTTGACTACTTGGAGAATAGTTATTAATTCTGGCATTCTAAACAGATCCCAGCTCCAAAACCATTGATTTTTGAGGATAGAGAATGGATAGTGCTCCCTCTCCTCTTATCGTTTTTTGGTTTTTGAATTCTTAAATTTCTTGTCTCAGATGAATGTACAAAAACAGAAAGGACAGGCGTTTAATACAGCTTCGACACAAAAGGCTATTGATATCTTGAAGGTATTATTTACCTACTTGATCCCATGCTGGCATCCCTCTTCATTTATTTATTTTTTTGTTTCTTATCAATAATTAAATCTTTATCTTAAGAAATGTTGTGATCAGTTGTGGCCATGTTGATTTGAGAACTTTGCATTGACAGGCCAATCCTGATTTGATACATGCTTTCCAAGCTGTAGCCGCGGCTGGAGGGTCTGGAGGTTCTGGTACTACTGTCAACAATTCACTTAATGCAGCAGTACTTGGTGAGACCATTCCTCGAGGAAGGGGATTTGATGAAAGGGCTGCTCGTGCAGCAGCTGAAGTAAGAAAAAAAGCTGCAGCAAAGGGTCTCTTGATTCGCCCACATGGTCTTCCAGCCCAAGCTTTACCGCCACTTACTCAGCTCCTTAACATCATAAACTCGGGAATTACCCCTGATGCCAATGGTAGTGGGGCCACTGATGTCCCAAAGAAGGAAGCCAACGGCGATCCTTCGAATGACCCAGCAGCAGCAGATGCCAAAAAGGATATATCATCATCAGAGCAAGGTGGTCAACCTCCTGCCGGGTTGGGCAAGGGTTTAACATCCTTAGATTCCAAGAAGAAGAAAACAAAAGCAGAAAACAAAAACTAAATTAACATCCTGAAGTTTTGAAAGGTAGAGATTCAATTATTTGGCTAAAAGATCCGGAAATTTTAACAAAGCTTGGAAGTAATTTTTTTTCTTTTGCCATATGTTGTGGAAGTAGCAATTTTTTTTTTTTTTTTTGGGTTTCTGAAAACAGTCTTAAGAGAGAGGAGCCACCCCATCTTACAAGGTAGAAGGGAATATTGAAATGTGGTAGTGAATCAATCTGTATCTTAAATTTTTGCCAATAATCTGGGTCTTCCTGATAGATTCATAAACTGCCATGCACTCGATGCATGTGATTCGAATAGTTTGATATAATATATTTATTTTTATTTATTGAATCTCATCATTCCCTCGTTGGGGGATTTGATTTAACACAAGAGTTTTGCAATTTTCACATGACTTTGAGAACAACATTCTAAAAATGAAAGTATTCAAATATTATGTATAGAAAAATTGCATTACCATTACCATTCTTAACAACCTTCAAGAATTAATAAGAAGGGTATATTTGTTCAACATAATTATTGTTAAGACGTTTCAAATCAATAAGGTTTTTTAAATAAGCTCATTTAAATTCCTTTAACCCCATTCAAACTTGAATTTTCATCAACAATCATGGGTTATGGAAGAAATGGATGTCGAAGAAAAATGAAATTGTGGAAAGATTTGGAGTGTGGTGGAGTGTAGGGGTGTCAAACGAGCTGAGTTGCAAGACGAGCGGCTCGGCTCATGCAGGCAAGCTGAGTTTGTACAGTCAATGCTCAGCTTGCCAGGCTCGTACGTTTCAGGGAGTTCGAGGGTATATGTGATTTTTGAACTAATAGGGGACGATAGTTATTTTATAGTTTTTAAAATTGACAAACACACCCTGAACAATCAACACTAAAACCTAAACCCATCTGTCTTTTACACCAAGCCATTGCTCCAACCCTCTTCTCCTTCATGCCGTGAAGCCTCGTGATTGTGCGACCAACTGCACCTAGCCACCCCACCATCTACTGCCACCTCCATCTACCCCCAATCATCCATCACTTGTCGATCCCCATCATCTCTGTTTTGGGTTTAGAAGCTACAACGATTTTTTATCTTATTAATTAACTTACACAAATTGCATGACTGCCCTTTTTTGTGCCCACCGAAAGATTCTAGAATCGTTGCAACCCCCTGTCACCATCATGTGCTTCCTCGATCTTCCCTAACCAAACCCCTTCTTCCATTGTTCTCATTGAACCCACAAATCGTCGACAATCAAGTAATTACTGGAGCGCGCGATTGTTCCCCTCAAGTCAAATTCCGACCAACTGTCACCACCAAATTCCAACCTACCACCACCAAAAGATTTATTGGCCTCCCCTCTTCAAAACCCTAACAACCTGGACCCAGTTTGCTCTTCGATCGTCGTTGGTTACTTCTAGGAGTCTTGTGTGATTTTGTGTTTGGGTTTTGATTGGAGTAATTTTGAAGTTATTGGGGCGAAACGGTTTGTTTCTTTGGAGTGTTTTTGTGTTGATTGAGTGATTTTTTCTGACCCATTTTTCCTACTGCTCTGTGCACACCAGGTGTTCGAAGAATTGCCCCAACGAACACCCAACTTTATGCATGCACGAGCTTCTGCTGAGCTCGAGCCCCCTCGACCTAGAGCTTGCTTTGCTTGCTTTTACTGTGTCGAGCTCAACAATGTGGGAGCTGAGACGAGTTTGAACAACCAAAGCTCAGCTTGGCTCATTTCCACCCCTAGTGGAATGTGGATTTGAGCTTAAAATGGGTACAATTGAAAACACAAAGGTTTTTTTTTTTCCCCATTTCTTTGCGCTTAATGCATTGTTTTAAAACCTGGACCAGAGGGCAACCCATTCTGCTATTCGGGTCATGGGTCAACTGGTCCAACCGGTTGGACCAGTGATGTCAGCAATAATTTTATTTTTTAAAAATTGCATATCAATCCCTTAAATTTTATATATTGCAAAAATACCTCTAAAAATTTTCAAATTAGTCCCTAAATTTTTTATTTATTTTAAAATACCCCAAAAGATTACCAATTAATCCCTAACTTTTGACATATCTCCAAAACACCCCTAAAAATTACAATGAGTCCCTATAAATTTGAAACATTACAAAAAAACCCCTAAAACCTAAACCGAACCAGAGAAGCTGCTGGGTCCCGGTCAGATCGATCCGACTAGTCGGTCTGATCCAGGTTTTAAAACAAAGCTTTAATGTCAAAGACTCGAGAGTAAAGTGAATTTTTTGTTTTTTAGGAACAAAAAATGTTAAAGATTGTCATACAAAGATGTGCTCACTAAAACTTCTGATAAATGAGCCAATGTTTAAAAACCCGGCCCGACCTGACCGATTTAACCGATTCAGCCGAGACCCGAAAGCTTCAACGGGTTGGGTTTATATTTTTCCTATTCACCCAAAACCCTAGGATTTTAGAGGATGATTGACAAACAATTGACGGCCGGGATGTTGGGGCTTTTGAAGAAAAAGTGTCAGTGAATGCAATGGTGGTGACGAAATTGATTTCTGGTGAGTAAATCGACCGAAATCGAACAAAATTGGCAGCGACAACAACCGGCTTTTGCCGGCGATTGGCAAGGCTAACGAGGGGTGAGGTGGGTTTTGGTTGGGAGGAAGAGGGGAGTAATTTCTGGGTGATGGGGAGGGTTGTCAACGTCGGCGTCAATGAGATCTGGCCTTCTGTTTTAAAACCTGGATCGGATCGATCAGTCCGACCAGGACCCGGCCTTAACTCTGGTCTGAGTTAACATGAAAACCGTAAAAGGCATAAAACCCACTTTAAACCGGTGGAACAGTACAAAACCGCGAGTAAAACCGGTCTGGATTTTAAAACGATTCACTATTTTGGGGTAATATGATCCCTAATTCCTAAACCAAATTTGCAGCACCGTTTCATTCTCGATTTCATTACGCCAGCAAACATTCTCCATTTTATTTCAATATCATTTTCATCTCCAAAGACCAAATTACATCTTCTATTTTCGTCTTCTATTCTTCTTCACTTACTCTAAAATCTATCGTTTAAAGAAGAAGAAGTAAGGGGAAGGGAAGGAAGAAGAAAGAGAAGAGCAGACGAAGAAGAATAGAGGAAGGAAGAAGATTAGAAGAAAGAGAAGAGGAGACGAAGAGAAAGAGGAAGGAAGAAGAAAGAAGAAAGAGAAGAGAAAAAAAAATTACCAGAGAAAGAGGGGAAATGGATAGAAGAAAGAAGCAAGTGACGGGGAGAGAAAAAAAAAAGGAGAAAGAAGAAATTTATGGGGAGAGAGAAAAAAAGGACAAAGGTGAAAGTGATAGGGAGAGAGAAAAAAATAATTAATAATAAAAGCTGCAGGATATTTCATACATACAGGGACTCATGCGCCAATTTTAGGGGTACATTTGCAAGTTTCAAACTTATAAGGACTGAAAAATTATTCAGAGATGTGTATGTTGTATATCGATCAGACTGGCCGGTCCAACCGGTTGGACCAGTCAACCCGAGAACCAGCCCCTTGACCGGGTTAAGGAGCGGTCCGATTTTTAAAACAATTATCTAGCTTGGAATGCCAACGCTGGCGTCGATGAGATGAGATCTAGCCAAAATCGAATCTATTTCGATCAGGTCTTAGATATATTTTAAGGGAAATTGACTCAAAGGACGATTGAAATTGCATCTGGGGTGTTGCCACCGCCAACCAATCACTGACCGATTTGTTTTTAGAGCGTGTTTGCTAAATTTCAAACTTATAGAAACTTGATTATAATTTTTAGAGGTGTATTTGCTAAATTTTAGAAGTTTTTGTCAATCGATCAACCCAAGACCCAGCAACTTTGCCTGAGTTTCACCCCAAGTTGGGTTTTAAAACATTGAAATGAGATTGCCTTCAGGTAATGACCAAATACAATTTAGGGGGTGTTTGGTTCAGGAATGTTAGATTACTGGGAATGTTGGATTACTGGAAAGATAGATTACTTTGAAAGATTACTAAGAATCTTTAAGAAAATGTGTTTGGTTAGTTGGTGGGTATGTTATATTAATATGTTTGGTTATGGGGAATAAATTGGTGGGTATGTTATTTAAATTACTAAATTGTCCTATTTATAAATATTAATATAATATTATTTTTAATATTCATTTTTGAATAATTTCTTTTAACCCCCAATATTTCAGATTTGGTTAAACAATAATATTATGCGTACTCACGAATCTTACTAACCTTTGTAAATATAAAGCATAGTACGAGTATCATAAGCATAATACGAGTACCATATGTAATTTTAACAAAGGTTAGTAAGATCGTGAGTACGTATAGCATTACTCTTAGTTAAAATACCCCTGCTTATGTAAAACTTTAATTTATTACGAAATCACCCCCATCTCCTGCCGCCACCGCAGACCACCACTGTAAGTCTCCGAAAGTCCCCATTAACAACTCACCGTGACCAAGAGGCTTCGATATGGCAGTTAATGGCCAGAATAGATTTGGCCATTTCCGGCTAAATCTGGCTTGATATGGCCGGAAACGGCCATATCGAAGCCTCCCATCGAAACTCGTTCTTTTTCAGAGACTCCGACGAGTTTTCAACGACAGTCCGTGGTGGTTGTCCGCTGTCGACGGTGATGGCTGGGTGACAGTGGTGGCTGAGTGACAGTGGTGGTATGTAAATTGTTTTAAATATAAGGACATTATTGTCCAAAATTTTAGTTAAATAAGGGTAAAATTAAAATAAGATATTAATGTAAATTTATTTTAAAATGAGGACATTATTGTCCAAAATTTTCATTAATAAGAAATAAAATTATAATAAAAAATGATAACCCTAGTAATCTCTGAATACCTAAGAAAATGAAGATAATCAGATTACCTCCAATATTACCAATAGTAATTACTATTGATATTTGAAGATTACCGGAATCTTATATTACTTGACAACCAAACGTAGTAATCAAATAATATAAGATGACATTACCCTAATAATCTGACATTACCGCGAACCCAATGCCCCCTTAAGACTAAATTATCCCCTTGGCCTTCAGGTTTTCAGTACTACATTTATGATAAATTATGTACAAAAGCCCACTGGGTGCAAATTGATCGAGTGTTGGAACTCAAAATAATTTGTATTATCTGTTTTGGGAATAAATATTACATGCGTTACAAATAAAAAATAGGTCAAATCCAACTCAAAATTTCTCCTATAAAACTTTCAAAGCAGGTGGATTACTCATGAGGTTACTTTGCTTTTCCTCCTATTCCTTTTTGTTCCACAAAACGGGACTAAAATGACACCCAAAGAATTTGATCGATTGGATTGGTGTTTCATCTGGATGCTCCAGCAGCAGCATGCCTATCGTATTCACCTTGCTCTTCTTTGGCAAACTCTTCAATCAATTGACGTTGTCTCTGGGTCAGATTCCTACATGGAAACGCTTACAAAATAAGACATTGACACAGAAGCAAATATGATGTCCAGCTAAATTTGGGGATGGGTACAGATACTATCAAAGTGTAAAATACTGTCTGAAAACATAGACTTACGTTGGAATGCTGACATTGTAGTGCACATATTGATCGCCAAATGCAAAAGAGTTTCTTGTTTTAATCCCTGAAAGACAAAACAATCATAAATATAGTCAGATAATTGGCGTATTGCATTTGATATAACATCCTGAAGCAGAGAAAATAAACACATTATCAGAAACGATCTTCAAAAGGACAAAATACGCATGAGAAACCATGTAAAGAAATAAATAATAAAAGGAAGCATTAATGTAATATTCAAACCTTTGCTCTTCAGAACCACCTTCTGACCTGGTTGGGTGCCAGGGCGTACCTGCAGATATAATATAAATTTTATTTTACCGCAACAGATGGAAGAAAAAAGTATCTACAGAAACCAGTCATATAAGATGGTCAATCCATAAGATTTCAACAAACCTTAAGTACAACATCTCCGGTTAGAGTTGGGACCTGAATGGTTCCTCCCAAAATCGCCTGTACAATAACAATCCAATGGACTTCAATAAATATTAAAGAGATTATAGGACACATAATTAAAAAAAAAAAAAAAGCACACTGTTTTAAGTTAAGAAGGAAATCCACAGGCTTCAGTACAAGAAGGAAGACAAAATTTTATGAAGAACTAGATATCACACACTCTTGAGATCTTCATAGATTAGCATCTCATTCTTTGTAAAGCCAAGAAAAATACAAGAAAACAGTTTACCTGAGTGACACTCAAAACAGCATCTACATGAATGTTAGCACCTTCTCTACGGAAAACAGGATCTTCCCTGACCTGCAGGATTAAAAAGAATACAACAAAGGTTTGCAATTTAACAAGTAACAAAATAAACTCACTCTAACTGTATGACATAATACATAACATAAGAAGCTAAGAGATTAACCTTGATGGTAACATAAAGATCCCCAGGTTGATTTCCATCAGGATCTGCTCCGCCGCTTCTGAAGACCTTTAAAGTTTCGTTGTTGTCAACTCCTGAAGATACATTCAAGTAAACTCGCATAACCAAAGTAAGAAAAGAACAGAAAACATTCCAGGATGCATTGCACACTCAGATCTCTGACATAAAACTCACAACAGAAAAAACTTGGGTGTATATTAGACAATCATGCATAAGAAGATGCAGATACAAACATTCGTTTGCAAGCAGGCAAGAGATGGACCCAGTATCTAAACGTATTGAAACAAAAATGATGAACTTCTAGGCTCTAGTAAAGCAACCATCAGTGCTTCAAGATTTAAAAAGTACCCGGCATAATATCCAATTTCACTGCCTTTGATCCTTTCACCACTCTAGTTCCTTTGCAAGCTTTACACAAGCTCTGATACCAACAACAATAATAGAGTTAAAAAGATGCGGATAAAGGGCATAAAGAAAACACTTACACTAATGTCTTACAAGAATAGATGTTGTTCAGTATAGTATTTGACCCATTTGATGTGGAAAATTAGTTTTTCACACAGCAACCACCTTAACATAATTAAATTATCAATTTTAAAACTCTCTATAATCTTAAAAAGTAAGTTCAAGCCATAAAGCAGTCTCCAGCACAATATGCACAGTGAAGCCACAAGCTTCAATTAAGTAACTTATTAGCATAACAAGATTGCAATATACAATGCTAAATATATTAAATATGTAATTAACCAAATCTTTTAAAATGGTTACTTACCATTAAAAGCATTAATTTTCCAAATCAGTAATATGTATCACACTGCTTTCTACATTAATTGCTTAGCCCAGTGGATTAATTTTTTTTTTTTTTTTTTCACCCACACATGTATATGAGTATAGGTTTCCTTTAATTCCAACACCATTTACCCTTCTCAGATTAAGACATGATGTACTTTATTTTACAAAAATCTGATCCAAAATGATAAATGTCACCTCTAACCCGCATTTATGAGATAGGCAAGTGGCAAATAACTAACAAGATAACTACTGCTCCTCATGTACCAAATAGCAGCATCAAATAATTTATGCAATCATGCCAAGAAAACAAAACCAGTTTAATTGATGGTCACATGGAGGCAGATCATATTTGTTCATATATGTTTTAACAAAAAAATTTACTGAACATGAGATCACAAAGCAGGTGTAACATACCGTTACAATTTGACCCCTTCCACCACACTGTCGACAAGTTTGATTAATGGTAATAAAGCCATTTTGTATAAACTCCTGCAATGTAACAAGCATATAACAAGCAACACAAATTTGTTATATCTGCCTTAACAGTTATAATCATCATTTATAAATATTATAAAAAAAATAATACAGACAATAAATGTGAGGTGTATGCACATATGTCGGTTTGCACGTTATCTGTAACTCTAGTAAGACTCACCATGCCTGAGCCCTTACACCGCCTACATTTTTCAGGTTTAACTCCAGGAGGGACACCTTCTCCACCTGCAAAATGCCAAAACAGTATAAGAAAACAAAACTAAATTGGGAACCTTTCTTTCTAATCTAAATTAGGATCTAACAGATAATATGCATACCGCAAGCTTCACAAGGCAACTCTGTTTCAAATGTGACAGTTTTGGAACACCCCTGTACAGCTTCCATGAAAGATAGCTCAACTGCAACCTATTCATTGATGACATGTCAGTGATTCAACTTTCAAGCACAAAACAAAGCACTGAATACGGGAAAATAAATAAGAATGATCACCTTGACATCTTGGCCACTCATTCTGTTGCTGAAAAAATCTTTCATGTTGAAGATCTGGCCATTATAGACAAATAAACACCATAAGCATGAAAATCGTATTAGACTTCAACAATTTAACTCTGAACAAACGAATCATTAAATGTTAACTTCAAATAAAATATGCACAAAATATTAGGTTTCTAAGTAGAAAGAGGAAGGGAAATAATTTGACACAATAAAGAAAAAAAGCTTCAGAAGAAGTTGTTACATTCTCCATATTGAAGATGTCCTCGAACGGATTCCCAAAACCACCATTATGCCCTGGACCACCATTAGTTTCTTGGTGCACAAATGCTTCATGACCAACCTATATGACACACACACAAGCAATGCTAATAATTGCTAATAAGGTCTTTGAGTAAAGGAATACGGAAAATCATGAAATATTATAAAATCTAACATAAGAAATATAAATGAAAAAATTAGCTGAGTAACAAAGTCTATTTCTAAATTGAACTTAAGAAAAAAATATTTTAGCCAAAATGTTGTAAACAATAATTTGCAACTTAACCAAAGGTAAAACAAAAATTAAGATGAGCTACCTGATCATAGATGCCACGCTTCTCCTCATCTTTCAAAACCTAGAACAAAACAAAAATAAAGGTTTCAGTAAGTCAATCATGTAAATGCAAAATAGGCTAGGGCAATGTTTCCAATTTCCATGATCCTAATTAAGCAAACTCACCTCGTATGCCTTTGAAACTTCTTGAAACTTCTTTTCAGCTTCAGGGTCATCTTTGTTTGTATCCGGATGGAGCTTCTTTGCTAGCTGCAAATAATAACAAAATAAACAATAATTAAGTTCATGAAACACAAGAGAGTAAACTAATTGTGCAAGTCAGCCCTTAGCCTGGAAGCAAAAACATACCCCATAGTAAGCTTTCTTTATTTCAGATGCAGTTGCATTCTTGCTCACACCAAGCATATCATAATAATCTCTTGCAGACATAGAAGCTAAACAAGCACGAAAACCAGTAAAAACTTTCAGTAATTTTGTTTCTAACAATTCCATTATGCAGAATAGAAAAACAAAGACTAAACAAAAAACAATAGAAGCTACTAATTACCAGTGCCATGGATTGACCTCGTTGCACCCAAATTGCTATTCAGAAGACCAAACAGCAAGCAGTTTCGATGATTATTAACTGCAATTAGCACAAAGTCAGAAGAAAACAAAGATTACTGTTTTAACAATACTTCAATCCAACACAAGGCCTTCCTTCACCAAAAAACACACACACGCATACAACACTATACAATATTTCAACTTTCATTTAAAAAAAGAACGAAAAATTTGAAAGATAACCGTTTTTAAAAGCGGAATTTCCCGTAACCCAAACTGGGTTACAAGCACCAGTATTGAAGCTCCTGTGACTGCCGCCAATTACATTCTTCAATACCTAGAACCAATCAAAACGTTAACTTCCATATAAAAAAAAAAAATTAAAAAACAAATCTAAAACTGGAAAAGAGTGAAGAAGGGAAAGAAGGGCACATACTGAATAATTTCGAGAATCCTCAAAAAGTCTCCGAGAGAATGAGTGAAGAAGTCTAGTTCGAACCATCTGTGAATGAGTCTCTGGCACCTGTTCTCCACGTGGATGTTAAAAAACATGCTGAAAATTAGTTGGGCTGTCTGCCTCGGCAATTCTTTTGCCAAATATTTTAAGCACTTCTTTACTAAATTTTCCTTTAGATGATTCTTGATCAATGGTTGTGGATTGGCCAATATATTTTGCCTTGCCACAGCTGTTGGTTTCTTCATATTAATGCATGGGTGTTGCATCTCTATTAACTTGTCAGATTAGCTATAGTTGAATTTAGCATGAGTTCACAACTTTTTAATACCTTGGTATCTGCCTTCTGTCTACTACTTATGTTTCGTATACTTAATTATGTTCTAATTTGTTTGTCTTAATGTGTTCTGGACTTGAGTTTGAGCTTCTATCTAAATATGGTTCTTTAATAGGTGGGCATAAGCATTGCAGCCGCAATATGATTTCAATGCTGAACACCTTTCCAAACTTCAGATATCCTTAATCTCCAGCCAGTAGTGAAGCATTCAGTCCTGTATGTTCTGAAGCTAAGAACCTTGTTGAAATGGGGAAAGCTCAATTATCTGAGGTAATTGTGCTCTTACGTACTCATGACCCTCGGCAAGGGATCCATAATTTGGAGTTATCAACTTTGTCAAATTTAGAAATGAAAATACTTGATTTCAGAAGTTATTAAAGTAACTGAGGGAACTCCTGAACATTGTTCTAGTAGTGGAATTAAGCCATATATTTCTTATAGCTGGCATAATATATGTTTGGATCAGATTGCTGACATATCATTATTTGTTAAATTAATAAGCATACATTTGAAATTTGAATTATATCAATAGTGTGGAAGTTAATGATATTAGTAATATGTTAATGTACATAATGGTTTCAGTCACTGAATTATGTGCTATATAAGATTTGCTACTGCATTGGATTGTAGAACTCTGATCCAAGGCTGCTAGACGAACATGATCTGATAATCTTTTTGGAGATAAATGTGGTTAACTTCTGCCACTTTCTGTCTCAGGGTCTGCTTAGTGAAGCCTACACATTGTTTTCTGAGGCATTTTCAATACTTCAACAGGTATGTTCATCACTTTTGTTATGTGCTTTTCAAAGATTATTGTGTGTGTATATCTCATTCTTTCTTGAATGGATTTCAGGTGAATGGTCCAATGCATCGGGAGGTTGCCAACTGCTGTCGGTAGTTACCTCACTTCAATCATTATGCAATTTTTTTTACCTCTACACATGCTGGCTTATATTAGTGTCATCAAATCATGTTGTTTACCAGTACTTTCTATTGTAGCTAGGACTGCGGTGAGTTGAACTTAGTACCTGAATATCTTAATTATTAGAGCCTGGAGCTTTAGCTCAACTCAGGGCTTGAAATTTACAGCTGAAAGTAGGATGCCTATGCTAGGTTTATGTTTAAGACAAATGGAGCATAAAATCCCTGGTCTTCACATCCGATGAAAATTTTGAAAATATATGATGTAACCAATATAATTATTAAACAAAATTGTTCCAGAAACCTGGGAACAAGGTAGCCCCATGCTGTTGCATGCCGTTAAATGACTGCTTCAAATTATGGGAATGAGTGAAGGACCATTTTTATAGAGCCATGTCTTCCATCCCTTATATTTTTATGTTCAAAAAGATCATTTAAAAATCAGAAAGTGGCATTATTATTTTCAATGAAATATGATTTGTTGGATCCTCTGAGTAGAATTAAAACACTAGCAGTATATAGATAATAAGGCTTGTGAAGGGAAGCAGGAGTTTAGGTTTGGGATCATTATTTAGATGAGCTTGATGGTGAGTTCAGGCTTAGATTTTATGCATCAATGAGCAAACTGGGCTAAGTTTTTCAAAAATCCAAGGTTGTCATGTTGAAAAGTCAACTATTGTAACTGTTATGTTAACACTGTTGCTTTCATAATTAATAAACTGTGCTGCTTGATGTATGGTATCAGTGTGCTGAAACTCTTTCTCAAATGTTCAGGTACCTTGCCATGGTTTTGTATCACGCAGGAGACATGGCTGGAGCCATTATGCAACACGCACAAGGAACTAATTATAAATGAACGTTGCTTGGGTCTTGACCACCCTGATACTGCTCACAGGTACAGTCATTATGTTTGCTATCTTCATTTTGTTTACTATCCTCATATTGTTTAGTGAGTTTTTACCATGTACTATCTTTAATATTAACTTCAGAATGGAGTTTCTTAGATCTTGAAATTTTTATGCCTATGATTAATTATATGAACTAAATGAAGTGTGCAAGTCATAAATGGAGGCAAACATCTGATAAAATTTACAGTATCCTTTAAATTGTGTAAAATGTGAGGCATTTCATGTCAGTTGTGATAGAATGATTTTGAACTTCACTTCCAACATCAGCATAACTTTCCTTCATTTCATCTTTTCTGGGCAAATTGTCAACTCATTTTGGTCTTTGATATGTTCGCAGCTATGGCAATATGGCTCTTTCTATCATGGACTTAACCAAACAGAGCTGCACTACGGCACATGTCCGGGCATTGCTCTTGGAGTCTTCATCGGCCCAGATCATCCTGATGTGGCTGCAACTTTCATTAATGTTGCAATGATGTACCAGGACATTGGGAAGATGGACACAAGCTCCGTTATTTGCAAGAGGCCTTGAAAAAGAATGAGAGGCTTCTAGGTGAGGAGCATATACAGACCGCTGTTGCTATCATGCCCTTGCCATCGCATTCAAATGCATGGGTGCCTTCAAACTGTCTCACCAGGTTTGTCTTATAGGAATTATTTGTCTGGTGTATAGTGAACTGCTATCAAATGAGCTGACTGATTTGAGCTTTTGTTATTATCAGCATGAAAAAGAAAACCTATGTATACTTGTCAAACAACTTGGTGAGGAGGATTCCAGGACAAAAGACTCACAAAATTGGATGAAGACATTTAAGAGCGGGAAGTTCAGGTAATAGCATCTTAAGCAACAGAATGAGAAAGATGAACCCTCTCGTCTCTGTCCGTATATATAGAATATTTGTGTTTTTCCTTATTCAGCCTCTGTTTTAAGTAGTTTTGTTTTCAGAAGTAAAGAAACTGTGTCAGTTGGAAAACATGCAGTGCTGCCTTTTCAGCAGGATATCCATATTTGTGTTGCGGAAGTGTTTCTAGAAATTATTAGGAATGATTACATTATAATTGCTTGCATTTCTTTTTCTAATTTTTAAAATTCACATTTCATGTGGTATGAAAACCCCTACTTGACTACTGGAGAATAGTTATTAATTCTGGTTCTAAACAGATCCCAGTCCAAAACCATTGTTTTGAGGATAGAGAATGGATAGTGCTCCTCTCCTCTTATCGTTTTTTGGTTTTGAATTCTTAAATTCTTGTCTCAGATGAATGTACAAAAAACGAAAGGACAGGCGTTTAATACAGCTTCGACACAAAAGGCTATTGATATCTTGAAGGATTATTAACCTACTTGATCCCAGTGTCACATCCCTCCATTATTTATTTTTTTGTTTCTTATCATAATAAATCTTTATCTTAAGAAATGTTGTGTTCAGTTGTGGCATGTTGATTTGAGAACTTTGCATTGACAGGCCAATCCTGATTTGAACATGCTTTCCAAGCTGTAGCCGCGGCTGGAGGGTCTGGAGGTTTGGTACTCTGTCAACAATCACTTAATGCAGCAGTACTTGGTGAGACATTCTCGGGAAGGGGATTTGATGAAAGGCAGCTCGTGCAGCAGCTGAAGTAAGAAAAAAAGCTGCAGCAAAGGGTCTCTTGATTCGCCCACATGGTCTTCCAGCCCAAGCTTTACCGCCACTTACTCAGCTCCTTAACATCATAAACTCGGGAATTACCCCTGATGCCAATGGTAGTGGGGCACTGATGTCCCAAAGAAGGAAGCCAACGGCGATCCTTCGAAGACCCAGCAGCAGCAGATGCCAAAAAGGATATATCATCATCAGAGCAAGGTGGTCAACCTCTGCCGGGTTGGGCAAGGGTTTAACATCCTTAGATTCCAAGAAGAAAAAACAAAAGCAGAAAACAAAACTAAATTAACATCCTGAAGTTTTGAAAGGTAGAGATTCAATTATTTGGCTTAAAGATCCGGAAATTTTAACAAAGCTTGGAAGTAATTTTTTTTTGCATATGTTGTGGAAGTAGCATTTTTTTTTTTTTTTTTTTTTTTTGGGTTTCTGAAAAGTCTTTAGAGAGAGGAGCCACCCCATCTTACAAGGTAGAAGGGAATATTGAAAGTGGTAGTGAATCAATCTGTATCTAAATTTTTGCCAAAATCTGGGTCTCCTGATAGATCATAAACTGCCATGCACTGATGCATGTGATTCGAATAGTTTGATATAATATATTTATTTTTATTTATTGAACTCATCATTCCTCGTTGGGGGATTGATTTTATTACCACAAGTTTTGCAATTTTTTTCACATGACTTGAGAAAACATTCTAAAAAGAAAGTATTCAAATATTATGTATAGAAAAATTGCATTACCATTACCATTCTTAACAACCTTCAAGAATTAATAGAAGGGTATATGTTCAACATAATTATTGTTACGACGTTTCAAATCAATAAGGGTTTTTAAAATAAGCTCATTTAAATTCCTTTAACCCCATTCAAACTTGAATTTCATCAACAATCATGGGTTATGGAAGAAATGGATGTCGAGAAAAATGAAATTGTGGAAAGATTGGAGTGTGGTGGAGTGTAGGGGTGTCAAAGAGTGAGTTGCAAGACGAGCGACTCGGTCATGCAGGAAGCTGATTTGTACAGTCAATGCTCAGTTGCCAGGCTCGTACGTTTCAGGGAGTTCGAGGGTATATGTGATTTTTGAACTAATAGGGGACGATAGTTATTTTTATAGTTTTTAAAATTGACAAACACCCCTGAACAATCAACACTAAAAACTAAACCCATCTGTCTTTTACACCAAGCCATTGCTCCAACCCTCTTCTCCTCATGCCGTGAAGCCTCGTGATTGTGCGACCAATGCACCTA